TCTGGCAGGCATTAGTTTCTTAACCTTTCAATCATAAGACTTATTGCCCAAACTTTTCTGCACTTTTTTCTTATATTCTTCAATATTTGCTGAAATGAACCCTAATTTTGGAGCCAACAGACAAAATTTAAGTAAATTTTCAGTTTTTAATCGAACATTTTGCTTTTTTTGACCCAATCTTCTGAAAGAAAGTGCAGGTTATAATTATGACTATTTTGTGAATTTGTGATGAAAAGTAGGAACTGGTGATGAACAGGTTAAAGATGCAACATTTGGGGGAGGGACCTTATTCACAGATAAGATGTGTTCAACCAGTCCTACTTGATATCACTGGTATATTGCATTACATTGCCCTAATGCCATTATGATGGTCACATAGGCTGTAACATGTTTTAATATACCCAAACCAGTACTTCTTAAATAAATGCATTTTTACACTTTTGAAAACAAATAAAAAAGCCAATGATATAGATTTTCCACTATTTTGATAAGAAATCAGGTAAATGTTTCTCTTTTATATTAATCAAATACTCATAATTAACATAGTGCAATACACTTATTAACGAATTTATATTACTTTCAGCACTGGCACATCAGCACAGATGAATATTAAAAACAAAAATTGTTTTTTATTTCAGAGATCCCTTTTCAGATGCTGATAGTTATGATCCCAGAGTAGCAAAAGGTTACAGAGAACCATATCGTAGTCAAGACGATAAAAAACACCATAGCAACCGTCATCACTCTAGACCTAATCCTTATCAAAACGGTTATGTAGATCCAGCCGCTTTCAACCGACTCACTGACCGAACTAATTACAGTGGACTAAAACACGATAGGAGTCATCGTAGCCATAGTTACCAGCCAGAGAAGTCACATCATCAATCAATTACAAATGGCCACACAAGTACTAATAGATCTGGAAAATCAAAAATACATAGTTCTTTACAAGATCCCTATTCTGATCTCCGATACAATGGACTTAAAAAACCCATGTATGATTCTTATCCATCAATGAAAAAACGTAAAAAGAAAAGAATCTATGTGAAGTATCATAGGCCTGGATCAGATACTTCCAATCGGACAAGTACTGCTCAGAGTGAACCACAATATCTTCCCGGTGAACAGAAATATTTGAGTCCCAGTCTGCAATATTTACCGGGGAATGAACGATCACAATACGGACATGCAAATCCCAATCTTCAGTATATAAATCCTGAACCAATGCATTTAAACCAGTTTGCATCACCAGGACGAGGCCCTATAGCTTATTTAACCGTAGGACCAGGCTATGCTAATGACAATGAACCTAAGGAGTCAGATCCGGTGAATTATCCCATTCTTCCTGTAGATGATGATGACTTTAGTGGAAGACATTCAAAGTATGACCACCTAGGTCCATTCTTAAAAGTAAGTAGTCAGGTTACAAAATGATTTAAAGCGTGGTAGTCGTTGCGCTGCGCATGTGCGACATTTGTGTTAATAAATATTGATTTTCTCACAATCCAATGCGTTCTTCAAATGGAAAGCACAAGTATGAGGTTTGCCCTGGCGCGTCTTGCACTGATTACCAACGGTGACTCCTTCGATACCTTCCAAATCACATGAAAATTGCCTAATTAAAGCTTGGAAATGTCTCAGTTCGTACTCGTTGATCTTTGTCGCCATCTTTGTTTATATGAGACCCATATATCTCGCACATGCGCGACGACTACCGCGCTTTAATGTATGACTTACATGAATTCTGCTTGTCAACATCATCTTGAACAGTAACAACTCTATATATTAAGGGCAAGGCTTACATAGTTTGACTACTGTGGAATACTTTATTTTAGCTGGAATTAATTTTCGCTGAAAAGGCTTTTTGGGCGTTTTGTATGGAATTTATTTTCACTGATTTCTGATGAGTTTAATGTGAAATATAGAAAAAAAAGTATATTCGCTGGATTTTATTTTCACGGAATCATCCCTTCAGCGAAAATAGCGAAAATACATTCCAAGCGAAAATAAAGTATTCTACAGTATGTTTACTGGTAATAACTATTGAGCTAATTCTGCATACTTAGTATATGTGTTTAGCAATCCAGTTATAAATTTTTGTTTTACTGTATCAGGGAAGAAAAAAGAAGAAACATAGACGACGATTCTCCACACCGGATGATGCAGCTGTTGCAATACAGAGTATGTATAGAGGCTATGCCACTAGGAAGGTAAATGATTTTTTTCTAAATTACAGTCTAGCTAAAAGAAAAATAAGTTAAAAATTTGGCTGAAAAGAAAAACGATAATTAAATGATAATAAAGGGGTTTTCTGAACATAAGTGAAGTTCTAATCTTCACTGAATATAAAAACCAAGAGTTCTTAATATGTAGTTTATGGAATTTATTTAGTATGTGTGTACTTCATATTTAGAGCTACAGTATGGCTTTCAGACAACCAGTCATTATTTTCATAATCACATTGCATATGTATCACACCCGTCACTGGCGCACATACATTTTGTTTGTTGCAACTAATTGTGCTAATTCCTTGGTGCAATTTGAAATTCAATTTGTAAGTTGGAAAACTGAAGTCAAAATTAAACGCAATGACAAAGAAAATCATCGGGCCACAGTTTGCGCCATCTGTAGTTGTTTTGAGCCACATACAGTGTTTATTTTTTCTGAAGACCTTTCACCCAAGTACTCACAACTTGATTTTTTGGAATTCTATTTGACTTGTGATTCCTATAAAATCAGTCGTGTTAGAGGGTACACTATTTGTGTTCATGCCTTTCCATTATTCTTATGTCACTAACTGCATTGCACAATTTGACTAACGCAGTGATGACCTGAACTGGAAAACACAACTATCGCACCCAACCTATATTGCCAATGTCTGTGAGCTGTGAGATCATATCGTCAAAAGAGTAATTCGTGGCATAATGGCTGGGAAACGTGTCCACACAGCATCTTGGAAATTTACTCTTGTGGCCAACTGCTCACTCAGCAGAAAAAAATATGCACTTTATGGTCTGAGATGCAAGAGCTTGTTGGCCACATCTGTTCTCAGTGTACAGTGTTACCTCTAAGCCTTATTTTTGCTCAATTTTCTCAGATTCAATTGTAGTTTCTCAGTGAAATTTTGTCTTTTGAGAAACTTTCCATGCATTTTGTATACAGAAAAAACATTTCAAGGGGAAAATGGGCAAATTTTCTCAGTATTTTCAAGATTCAAAAACATTAAAGGGAATAGTGACAGTGCATAACAAAATTCAAATTGTCGCAGTAAGTAGCTGATTTCTGCGGGATGTCTGGAATTCACCCTGAAAAGAGGACCCTGGATAAGCAAGCCAAACTGGCTACCATTTATAAATAAAATAACATGAATGTATGAATACGGTATCATCCAGTAGATTTAGAAATAAAATATTACATGAAAGCATTTTTTTTCTAAACGTTTTTTTAGGAATTAGAATCAGCGCAGTATTTACGACAAACCGACTTTGCAAAGCAGTTTATTGA